TGCTCTGGATTGTGAAATTCTTGCAGTTTAGGGGTGGAGTCTGGGGAGGGGGGGGGAGCCCAGCATGGTGCACTGCCCTAGAGTCCCCCCCTCCAAAGCAGCCATTTTCTCCAGGGGAACTCTGTTGCCTGGAGATGAACTGTAATTCCAGATCTCCAGGTGTCACCTGGTGGTTGGCAACTCTAACTCTTCCCCACATTTCTCTGGACAACTCTCTTTTCCATTGCTAGTCCCTGCCCCAGAGCCCAAACATCATTTCTCAAAGGATGATAATATTTTTTAGATATTTCTGCCCTGCTTTTCTTCTCTCCTCCATTTTACAACATTAACCCTGTGAGGTAGGTCAGGCTGAGAGTGTGTGACTGGCCCGAGGTCATCTAGTGAGCTTCCGTGGCAGAGGCAGGATTCAAACCTGAGTCTCCCAGATCCCCTTCTGGCACACTACGCCACTCTGACTGCAACTTGTACCCCCACCCCACCACCACCACCACCCGCCATTCCAGCATAGTCTTGTGAGTTGCAGACAACTGTGAGCATAAGCCTGAAAATGTTTGGAACACTGATGGCCATGCTGGAAGCTTTGAAAACGCATTGGTGTGCTGCTGAGCTTTATGTGTTCCCAGCCCTGGTACAAAGGAAGGCAGATAAAGGATTACTGAGGCATTTGGGGGGCGGGGGAACTGTACAAATTATTTTTGAGTCACTGAAATACTATGTGACTCCCTTTCCCCTGTATTTCTCGTGTGTGGAGAAAGAAAGCTGTGCCCCACTCCCAGACAGCTATACGGCATCATCCCTAAGCAGAGCTGAACCCACCAGAATCAAGAGGTTGTCAGCAAGCTGCCATTCTGTTTTCTGTGACCTCTGTGTACATATACTTTCCCTGTTGCACCCGGCTTGGTTTCTATCATCCTGCTCCTGCGTTGGAATGCAAAAGATAACTGCTGGAGGTTGTGTGGGGGAGAAGATGCTGTAATGCTTGCCTATTGCTTTTCTCATGAGTACTGCACCTGTGTTTTGTCTGATGTTCTGCCTGGTTCCCATGGACTGGGCGCGCAACCGTTTCATTAGCCCGCCAGCGGGAATGCTATTCATTGGATCTGTATCTGTTTGAAGTTCCTTTATTATGCTTGACCTAACTGTGTATCCCCAGTTCTAACAAAGAACGTGTTTGAGTATGTCTTCAACGCTTTGAAATAAATTTTGCTTTTCTTGAACTGAACCCACCAGAATCAAGAGGTTTAGAAGAATGTAAGGCCCAATCTGCATCTAGCATTTGCTCCGCTGTCTTATCAAACCCACCCCGGAACAGAAATCCCCCTCTGCATCGATTATCGGATTTTATGGCTGCTTTCACCCTGTTTGACCTCTCAGTTTTATGGTAGCCATCTGCATAGATTTGTGGCCGTTTTATTATGGCCCTTCAGGGGTGACTCTGCAGTCAGTATGGCGTTGGCCCCCCCGGGGTGTCTGAATGTGGTTTTGGGACGCGTCTTTTTCTGTTCCAGCGTGGGTTTGGTAGAACAGCGGAGCCAATGCTAGATGCAGATTGGGCCTAAGTCTGCTTAGGATACCACTGATGAATGACAGAGCTTCTGCCCCATTCCCTGCTTTGAAATCTGAAGAATGGTTTTGTGAAGAAAACCCACACTTCCTCTGAGCTCATTCAAAGGTCCAGAACAGTAACAACAGGAAAAGCGTGTTGGCAAGTACAGCCCTCACAGGACTATACCACTTCAGATTGTCGGCAGGGTGCCTGTGTGTGAGTGTGAACCGTAGCCAAGGGGGACTGTGCCCCTCTACCCACACAAAGTGGAAGGCGAGCACAAACCTTTCTCCCCATGAAGATTCTGGACGCCCGACATGGTTCTCTGCCAATGATGATCACCAGGGCTCCCAGCTGGCCTGGAGGTAGGGTTGCCAGGTCTGGGTTGGGAAACGCCTGGAGACTTTGGGGGTGGAGCCGGGAGAGGGCGGGGTCTGGGGAGGGGCCTCAGCAGGGCCCAATGCCATAGAGAGTCCACCCTCCGAAGCAGCCATTTCCTCCAGGGGAGCTGATCTCTCTCGGCTGGAGACCAGTTGTGAAAGCGGAAGATCCCCAGGCCCCGCCTGGAGGCTAATACAAAAACTGAGGGTCACAGTGTTAGGAAGACATACAAAAATATATATCACTGTGTACAATAAAGATGTGTTTATGGTAAAACAATGTTGTGCTTTATTCCTTTTCTTTTTGTAGTGATAGTGTTACTGACAAGGTGCTGTCTGAATGCCTGCACTCGATGTATTGTTTGGGTGAAACATTTTTCTCTATGTGTTGTTTGGGTGAAATATATTTTTGATCATATTTGATACCAGTATTTAGACAATAGTATTGAAAAATATAAAAAGGAAAAGAAGAAAGCATGAAATTGTTTTACCATAAGCACATATTTATTGTACACAGTGATATATGTTTTTGTATGCCCACCTGGAGGCCGGCAGCCCGACCTGGAGGGAAGATGTCCCGTCCCTTTAATAGAGGCTTAATGTCTGGAAATGGGCGAGGTAAAGAGCAGCATCACCTGGTGAGGAACAGCTCATTAAGGCTCTATTAAAGGGACAGGACATTTTCCCTCCAGGCCAGTCGGCAACCTGAGATTATCCAGAAATCCCTGTCTGTTATGATGGGGGTTAGGAGCCATTAGAGTTAACCCAGTTTTAAAAGCTCTTTTAAGTTTTAGGGTCATGATAATAGTCTCTCTAAGTTACTTGGTTATAAATAGTTAAGTCTCGCTGAGGGGATGTTAATGCCAGTGTATAACTGTCTATACACATACAGAGAGAGACTCAGTGTAATTCAAACCACCACATCGTTGTTGTTCTTCCTCCAGCCCTGACAGCAGTAAAGGGAGAGATTTGCACTGAGAGTTCCACCAATGGAAGTGAATTACTCCAACCATCTTTACAACTGCCCTGAAAGGTAGGCCAGCATTGTTACCCTCATTGCACACAGGTTGGAAGACTGTGGCCAACAGAACAGTGGCCTTTATAAGGCAGTCACTTGGTGCAGTTACGATTCAGGTGAGATTTAAATGAAATAAATAAACGAGGTGATATTTGAATTTGTAGTTTCCAGGGCCTTGTGTCTGAGACACGATTTTATGGAGTGGGTTGCTGGTTAATGTTGCCCATTCTCATTATTAAGGTAAAGGTTCCCTTGCTCGAAAGCTAGTCGAATCCAACTCTAGGGGGCAGTACTCATCTCTGTTTCCAAGCCGAAGAGCCAGAGCTGTCCGAAGACGTTTCCGTGGTCATGTGGCCGGCATGACTAAACGCCGAGGCACACAGGATGCTGTTCCCTTCCCACTGAAGTGGTATCTGTTTATCTACTTGCAATTTCTTGCTTTTGAACTGCTAGGCTGGCAGGAGCTGGGACCAGAGATGGGAGCTCATTCTGTCACGCGGCACTCGGGTCCCGAACTGCAGAACTACTGACCTTCCACAGCCTGCAGTTCAGCGTCTTAACCACTTGAGCCACCACAGCCCCTAGATTCTCATTATTATACTACTTTTAAAACATCAAATTAACGGAGCAGCACCCTGGCCACAGGTGGGCTGTGCTTTGATGCCCCCTTCCTCCACTACCAGCTACACTAGCTGAAAGTAGAACTTCCCTGTATCTTTGGTGACCAGATGCTTATGACAAAATGATCTCCCGTTCTGCTTTTCTTGTGGGCCTCCACAGGGCAACTGGCTGCTCACTGTTGGAGGCAGGCCTGTGGGCCCAGGTGGAACTTTGGTTGGGTCCAGGAAAGCCATGTTTATTGTCCATACAATTTGGCTCTGGAAAACCCACAGCCCTGGACACAATGAGGCTGTGTCTGCCAAAACTCTGCCTGCTTCAGTTCCCCTTTTCTTTGAAGCGGGAATATTATGGCCAACTGGTGGTTTTGAGGGTGCGCAGCATTATAAACAGCCTTTTACAAACAGCAGCCTTGCAAAAGGACATGTTTTGTAGTTCAAAAGAAGAAATTGTATGTGGCTGTAATTCACCTGGTATTAAAATGCTGGCAAATGTAACAATCTTTAAAAAAAAATAATTACTTCCTTCCCTTCTCCAGTCTTCCTTTGAAAGTTGGCTTTTAATGACTGTCACATAATGAAAAGAATCCAATTCCATCTGTAACCATTTAAATCAATAATTAACAACAGAGCATTTGGACCATTAGTCCCTTGTAAAGTGTGGATTGGGTTTGAGGAAGAAGAGAGAAAACAAACCTATAAGAGATTTTTTTTTCAGTTTCTTACTTGAAACAAAACACATTCTTTCCTTTTTTCTACAATTTTACATGGCTAAATCTTCTGCGTCTTTTTCCTTTCTTTTGGGTCTCCCCAAAAGTAATAGCAAAGAAATTAATTCCTCCACGGTGCTGTTCCCACTTTATCTTTCTTTATCTTCTCCCCTAAAGATGGGTAGGGAATGTTTCCCCTTATTGCTGGTAAAAACCGGAGTGCTAGCAAGCGACGGCAGGCACAAACTCTTTGTAAATATGCAGGGGAGGGGCAGTTGGAGGAAAAATACGGGGGGGGGGGCAGTCCCTTGCTTCACATTCAGAAATAAACTCTGGGATGAAATCAACTGAAATGATAATATCAGGGTCCTCCCTGCTTTCTCTTTTCTAGACCACACTTGAGAATCCACACATGCGGTCTTCAAACGCAAGGCAGGGATCAGACACACGAAGCATTCTTGACACCATTGCTAACAAATACACAACAGTCCATTAAAACTACCTCTCTCCTCTTGCTCCGATCCCCAATTCACTTGCCAAAATAACACTGGCGAAGACTTCGCCCGAGATGCCCCTACGTGACACATTGCCAGCACTTATTAAAAAACACACCACATGCGGCTGAGCATCTTTGCAAAGGCGTCCTGGCAACATACTTTCCCCCAACCCAGGGTGGGGAGGTGGGGGCTGCTTCCTCCAGTCGGATCCACAGAAAGCTTTTGTCCTTACCTGGTCTGGAGAAAGAGCAGCGGAGGAGATGTGGAGCACTGGACTTCCCTGCCCTGTCTGGCTCCTTCCAGCAGAGGGGCAGGCTTATGAATGAGAAGCCGGAGGTGGTTTTGCCTCTTTGTGAGCACTGGGGATGTGCCGGGGGGGGGGGGGGGCTGGTGACTGACAGCTGATCTCCAAGCTCCACCTTACAGCTCCTCCTTCCCAAGCTTGGTGTGTGTGTGTGTGTGTGTGTGTGTGTGCGGGCGCGCATGCCTGTGTGTTGGCGTAGGGGTTACCAAGAGACAGTTGTACAGGCTAAACCAGACAGTCAGCAGCCTATTATAAGCAGGATGACTCAAAAGTCGCTCCGGCCAGGTTTCAAAGGCATCAGCACGTGAAATGAAGAAGGCTCTCTCTTGAAGGGTCCATGGGGGGCGGGGGGGGGGCAGCATTCCTTGGGGCTTGACTCCAGCACCTGTTCTCAGCACTGGTGGTGTGTGTGTGGGGGGCTCTGCCGAAACAGCGGAGGTGAATATCCCTGAGGGTGTGCAGAGGGGCTTCCAGAGGAGCTGTGCTGAGCTGTGATGGCTTTGGGGCACATGCAGAAAGTTCTTCTACGGGTTCAAAGAACACATGAGACTGCCTCATCCCGAATCAGACCCTTGGCCCATCCAAGTCAGCACTGCCTACTCAGACTGTCAGCGGCTCTCCAGGGTCTCAGGCCTGGTCCTTTTTAACTGGAGATACTGGGGATTGAACCTGGGACCTCCTGCGTGCCAAGCAGGTGCTCTGCCGCTAAGCCACAGCCCCTTTGCACCCCCCTGCTCTATAACTAACATCCAGAGGCCGCCCAGCCGCCCCGGAATCCCAGTCATAGGAGGCCACACTGGGGAAGGGACTGTTAGCCCTTGAAGGGTCGTGGGATTTATTGACTGACTTCCTTCACGTATACCCTACTATTCTCCCCAGAGGGGACCCAAAGCGGCTTATACTATTCTCCTGCCCTCCATTTTATCCTCACAACAACCCTGTGAGGTGGCTATGTGTGACTGGGTCCAAAGTCACCACACAGGCTTCTGTGGCGGAGTGCGGATTCAGCTCTCCTTTGGAGGGTTTGAAGCAGAGGCTCGATGGCCATCCGACAGCAATGCTGATTCTGTGAGTCATGTGAAGGAAGGCAGGAAGGGTTGCCTCAGTGCTTTAGTTCTCGTGGCCCTTTCTTACACGGCCAGGGAAATGCTGATTGCCGCTTTGGGGTCAGGAAGCCTGGAGGTTTTTTGTCATCTTCTGGGCATGGAACGGGGGGGGGGTCACTGTGGGTATGGGGGGGGTATTTGTGAATTTCCTGCGTTGTGCAGGGGGTTGGACTAGATGACAAGATTATGCATGGGATAGAGCAGGTAGAGAAAGAAGTACTTTTCTCCCTTTCTCACAATACAAGAACTCCTTGTGGGCACTCCATTAAATTGCTGAGCGGTCGGGTTAGAACAGATAAAAGGAAGTCCTCCTTCACCCAAAGAGTGATTAACACACAGAATTCACTGCCACAGGAGGTGGTAGCAGCTACAAGCAAGGACAGCTTCAAGAGGGAACTGGAGAAACATATGGAGCAGAGGTCTATCTGTGGCTATTAGCCACAAGGTATAGGTAGGAACTCTCGGTCTGGGGCAAGTGATGCTCTGTATTCTTGGTGCTTGGGGGGGGCAACAGTGGGAGGGCTTCTAGTGTCCTGGCCCCACTGCTGGACCTCCTGATGGCACCGGGTATCTTTGGCCACTGTGTGACAGAGTGTTGGACTGGATGGGCCATTGGCCTGATCCAGCATTGGCTTCTCTTATGTTGCTATGACCCTGGAGGTTCCTTCCAACACTATGATTCCCTGATTCTAACCCCAGGTCTCCCAGATCTTAGCCCGACACTCCATCTGCTGCACCACACTGGCTTGCTGGGTGATGTTGCTAGCTGTGGTCCTTTTCAACGGAGATGGGACTGAACCTGGCCAGGGTGTGTAGTGGAGGAGAGGAGGAGGACGTCAGCCACTGTGGGTTACCCCTGGCGAGGAAGGCAGGGCGCGAATGAAGAATAAACTGGCTGGCTGTTGTGTGGAATGGGATGCTGGACTTGATGGGCTGCCCGCAGGAGCCCCCCCCCCCCATGTTCTTATCTACTGCTGCCAACAACGTCACTCTTCGGGGGCGGCTTTTTTGGCCCAAGGGTTTGTTTTAAAGTGTTTTAAAGAAAGTGGTGATCTCCACCCCCCTCACCTCGCCCCCTCCCTCGTTTATTGTCCCTTCAACAACTGTGTTATGCAGAGAAAGTAAAGTAATGAGGCTTTCTGGATATCAGGATTGTACTAAAGGAGAAAAGCGTCACGGGCTGAATTCAACTGTCAAAGGCATAGGAGCCAGGCACAATTTTTTTTTTTTTGGCAACCTTAGTTATAGAGCAGGGAAATGCAAAGACATCATTCTTGTGATTAAAATATCTATGGCTAGTCCTATTTTCTAGGCTTGTGGTAGCCTGAGAGTTGTTCATTTCAAACAGTCAAAGAGTACTGTATTGCCCAAAAGTCGAGGGAACAACCCCCCCCCCGCACACATGTGCGTGCGCACACATTGAAATTGCGTACGTCGGTGAATGCATGAGACAGATTTCTATTCGAACACGTCTACATAGCAATCAACTATGCTTAGAAAAAATGTATGACCTTCCCAGTGTTGCAGTCCCAGCAAATGGTGGAGCCCTGCACGATCGTTAAGAGCTATACAAATATATATAAATTATGCATTGTTATCGATAGCAGAGCCCCGCACTGACATTGACTATCCCTCCCCCCCCCCATTTTATCTTCTGCCAGAAATTGCTCAGGCCTAAACTTCGGTGGATCTCCAGGGGAAGGGAATTACAATCAAGCCATGGGACAGCTTCCAAAAACACCTTAGCAGATAAGTGTGTGACACCCCCCCAAAAAAAATTCCTTAGCATTTAAAAATAAACCCTCCGTGTCATATCAGGACAGGTGACCAGGATTCTGTCGTCCAGATGGAATTTCAGTGTAATCCTCCATGCCACATTGCCCAAACAAAGACATGTGCATTTATGGATGTACAGTGTGGCCTATTCAGTGTTTGTGCACACTGAGAAACCTTTTTTCACAGGAATGTTGTATGGAAGAATATCCACTTACACACACCCCCAGCATATAGCTTCTCCTTTCATGTACAGGGGGATTGTGACGGAGAAGATCTCAGCCAACGCGGTACAGGGGGTCAGAGTGTCAAAGGCGAGGATCTGCGAGACCTGGCTTGAAACACCCACTCTGCCAGGGAAGCTTGCTGGGTGGCCCTCTCAGCTTCACCTACCTTACAGGGCTGTTGTGATTATTAAATGGAAGGGAGGAAGATGGGTAAGCCGCTTTGGGTCCCCGCTGGGGAGGACGGCAGGGTCTAAGTGAAGGGACTGACTAAATAAACCTCATGGCAGTTGCACGGACTCTAATCTGGGAGAACCGTGTTTGATTCTCCACTCCTCCGCTTGCAGCTGCTGGATGACCTTGGGCAAGCCATAGTTCTGTCAGAGCTGTTCTCTCAGGAGCTGTTCTCAAAAGAGCTCTCTCAGCCCCGCCTACCTCACAGGGTGTCTGCTGTGGGGAGGGGAAGGGGAAGGAGATTGTAAACCGCTCTGAGACTCCTTTGGGTAGTGAAGGGCCATGGGGTATAAATCCAATCTCTTCTTCTTAAGGACTTTGGGTCCCCACTGGGAATGAAAGTGGGGCATCTAAAGGGAATAAATCAATAAAATAATAAAGGTCCTCGGTCCGAACCTTTCCCACAGTCTTGCTGAGTGGTCTTATACAAAGCATTCGGTCTCTCCACTTTCTCATCTCCAGTACGGGGACAGCTGAATTTGCCCGCCTTATTGGGCTGTTGTAAAGCTTACCACAAAGGAATCTGTGTCCGGTTCATAAGATCTTTATTAGGTTTTCCCTATTATAAATGACATTATGGGAAGGGGAGGACATAGGGAATGAGATAAGACATGTAGGAAAATTTCCATCAAGGTTATACAATTCCATCAAACTGTTACAAATTTTCTATCTTAAAACTTTGTTTCCAGATCTCTTTTGTTTATATAATTTCAAAAACTAATATCGATTAATCAAATCACTAAAATCTTCTATTTTGATTCCTGAAAAAAGTACATGTTCTGTGCAATTCAAGCTAGATTTATCCTGAGTTTATAGTGATTATACTCATTATTCCTGATCTTCAGAATTTCTTTTCACCCAATCATAAAATGGTGTCCAAATATCTGTCAAGTTTTGTTTACTTCGGTCTTTCAACGAGTCAGACAATACATCCATTTCCACTGTTTCAAAATTTTTTGTCATGAGTTCATCTTTCGTTGGTATCTCTGATCTCTTCCAATATTTGGCGTAAAGAACTCTTGCTGTGGTAGCTATATGAATGAATGAATGAATGAATGAATGAATGAATGAATGAATGAATGAATGAATGAATGAATGAATGAATGAATGAATGAATGAATGAATGAATGAATGAATGAATGAATGAATGAATGAATGAATGAATGAATGAATGAATGAATGAATGAATGAATGAATGAATGAATGAATGAATGAATGAATGAATGAATGAATGAATGAATGAATGAATGAATAATGTTTATTTGCGGTCAAAGACCATTTATCAAAATAATACATATTCTTTAAGTACAAGCAAATTAGCTTTCACCTCTAAAAATAAACATATAACCTTAAAATCATTAAAATGTTAAAAGGAGAGAAGTTTAACAGTCCCTTATATCAAAGTAATTATAAGATGTTTAAAACTAAACTACTTATGAGTCATGCAAAAGGTAAATGAGGATTCTACTTGCTCTGCTTCTTATTGTGAAACTTTACCAGTTGCCAGCAGAATTTTGCTATTTGTCTGGAGATCTGCTGATTTTCCTCTATCAAAAGTCTCTAGATCAGCACTATCTGCATCAAGTGCTGGTCTATCCAAGAGGGGGGCGATAAGCTTATCCCTATAAACCTGATGAAAAGGACAGCGAAAGAACATGTGGAACATTGATTCCACTTCTCCCACAGAGCCTGGGCAGCACCTGTCTTCAT